AGATAGATAGATAGATAGATAGATAGATAGATAGATAGATAGATAGATGATTGGATGGATGGATGGATGAATGGGTGGGTGGATGGATGATAGATAGATGGATTGATGGATGGATGATGAATGGACATAAGGGAGATAGGCAGAGATATAAAGTTAAACTTGTTCAGTGCCTGCCTGGAAATCTGTTTACACATTTGTATTGTTCTCCTTTTGGACACAGTTCTGAATGATTTGTTCGCATACAGTCTCTGTCACGTGTCCACTGGTGCATGTCATGTGTATGTGCTTTTCATTCTGACTGCCCTCAAGACATGTAGCTGTTTTGTACTTCTGTGGTGAATCTGTGTGTCATTTTTATCAGAGTGGTAGGAAAGATACAATAAAAGATTTAAAAATTATTATTTTTATTATTTTACATGTATGGGTCTGTGTACCATCTGTGTACCTAGTTCCCATAGAGGCCAGAAGAGGTTTTTGGATCCCCTGAAACTGGAGTCACCTGTGGTCGTGAGCTGCCATGTGGGTGCTGGGAATCAAACTCAGGTGCTCTAGAACAGTAAACCCATCTTCCAAGAAATAATTAGAAGTCCAGGTAGATTGAATATAATCTTTAATTTAGGTGGGTACCCTTCTCCATTGAAATAAATATGTATGCAGTGCATCCTGTATGTGGAAGTCATGCCTGTCACTGGGGACAAAGTAGTGAAACTATGGTGTGTAATCTATCTGAGAAGACATTTCCATGCTCCATAATCAGAGTTCTGAAACCTCATTCAGAGCTCTTGGGCACAGTGAAGCATCATGTCCAGGAAGGCTTTCTAGACAAAATGGTATTTGCACACCTGCTGGGTTGAAATTGGGGGTTTGAAAGAAGGTAGCCCTAGTCCAAAACTCCAGTCCTTCTGTGAGAATACATCACCCTTGGGTACTGCTAAGATGAGGAACAGCACTGGCCTGTGTGCTTGGGCTGCATCCTGCTGCCTTTTGTCCCTCATTTTCTCCCTTCCTTCTGTCCTCAGCCCCAGAAGTCCTGAACAACCAGCGATATGGCCTGAGCCCTGACTACTGGGGTCTGGGCTGTCTCATCTATGAGATGATTGAGGGCCAGTCACCATTTCGAGGCCGCAAGGAGAAGGTTAAACGGGAAGAAGTGGATCGCCGGGTGCTGGAGACTGAAGAGGTATACTCCTCCAAGTTCTCTGAAGAGGCCAAGTCCATCTGCAACATGGTAAGCTCACATCAGACAGACTGACAGGACAGGAACATTAATATACATCTATGGGTGGTATAGCCCTCTACACTAGAATCGCGTGTGCTCCTTGATCTGACTGAGATGTCAGATAGGCCTTACGGGAAGCCTGGAATACTGGGCAGGATACCCATGAACCAAGAAATGGGGATTGAGTGAACACCCATGAAGGTCTATCCCTTGTGAAGAAGTAAGCGAACGATGAAGATGATGGCCTCAGCTGGTTCACAAGCAAGTTTCTGCTCTTGAACTTGGGCCTCCTTTTCCCTCAGCTCTGGATTCTAACAAAGCAAGCCTTGTTGGCAATGTCTGCTGTGGTGCACCAGGCCCCTGACACTATGACATGTAACAAATAGACCTTAACCCCACAGCCTGTTAACCAACCTCAGAGAAGCATTGCAGCAGACTGTCGCTGCAGTACAGTCAGAGTGGGTACCAGAGGGACGGGCAGCAAAGGTCAGGGTGTAGGGAGACGGTTGCCAGTGATGCTTGTTTGTGCCATCTTCAGCTATCTATGTGGTGTGACAAGGCTGTTGAAGGAGGTATCACAGTCTTAGGTCAGGGACACCAATTCTAAGAAGCCGGTCTCAAGAGACCTCAACAGGGACATGTACATATTGAGAGGATGAGGCAAACATGAACTCTACTTCTGACACCACTACCACTCTAGCTGGTCTTTCTTCAGACTGTCAGCTCCTGAATGATGACAGGGAGTTTTGTTTGTTTGTTTTTTATGAAAAGCTTGACCTTTGTTTAAGCTTTTTTTCCAACTAGCTTTTAAAACTTAAATGAACCTGTTTATATTAATTATGTTCTACCATGTGGCTCATTGCCTTGCCTCAGTAACATACATCTGGTTTCCTAGTGTCTGGCTGGCAAACCTCCTACCTCAGATTCTTTCTCAGAGTTCTGTCTCTGCCTGCAAGTCTCTCTTATCCCCTCCTACCGAGCTATTGGCCATTCATCTGTTTATTAAACTAATCAGAGGGTGCCTTAGGCAGATGAAGTAAAACATAGACACCCAGCGTATCACCTTCACCCTCCTCCACCAATCCTCTGCTTCAACCCCAGTCTTTGAGCTGGAACTTTTCAGGTAACTAGGGACACTGCTATCCCTCTTCTGCCCCCTTGTGGCCACTTCGGGAAAACTGCCGGCTAAGCTTTATACTCTGGTCTGTAGCTGAAAAGTAACAAAGGGTTGAACCCTCATCTTTGTCACCTGGAAGAACCACCAGAAGTCTTAAGTCTTGCTCTGTTTTCTCTCGTGGTCTTGGATTCTGGTCTTAGACATCCTCTTCTTTGTAATACACACTCTGCTCTACTGAAATGCCTGACCTGTAAACCATACCTCTTAAGGTCTATAAGTCCCCACATCTAACTTCTTTGTCTCCTGGATCATTCTTGGCCTGGTAGTAGCTGATAAGCAACCTACCCCCACTTCTCATCCTTCTTTCATCTTCTTATCCTTGATGATACTACCAATCTGCCAGCACTGTGGACTATTGGAGCTGTATTGACAGGCTTTTTATATTGACACAGCCTTGCTTCTTTGGTGTTTCTTGGAATGGAGAGAATATAGCTCAGTTACATATGGAAAAGAGAAACTCAGGGACAGAGAGATGGCTCAGTAGGTAAAACTTTTTATTTTTATTTTATTTATTTATTATTATTTTTTTTAATGCAAGCCTGGTGCCTAAATTCAAGTCCTGGAACCCATCTGAAAGGTAGAAGGACAAAACAGACCACACAAAGTTGTCCTCTGATCTCCACACACAATAATAATAAATAAACATTGTAAAACAAAACAAATTAAAAAAGAGAAGCCCAGGTGTGGGCACTAATCTGAGCCACCAGCCTGGTAATGTGCCACAGGGTAACTGAGAACATGCCTTATTTGTTACAAAGATGTGATCTGATGCTTGCTCTGCTGCCACTTCAATTCCCCATCCAGACTGTGAGTTCTAGGAGATGGCACTGGGGAGGCTAGAAGAGGGACACTTGCGAGAGCTGTAGCCACGGATGTTCCTTCCCCCTTCTGTCCTCTGGGCAGATGGAAAGGCCCAACCACATGACCTCATGGGATTCTCTTGTTGCAGCTGCTCACCAAAGACTCGAAGCAGAGGCTGGGCTGCCAGGAGGAAGGGGCTGCTGAGGTCAAGAGGCACCCCTTCTTCAGGAACATGAACTTCAAGCGCCTGGAGGCTGGGATGTTGGATCCTCCCTTTGTTCCAGATGTGAGTAGCCACCACTGCTCCTAGGAGCTTTAAAGTCACCTCTCCCAGACATGCTTTCTAGTAGTCTGAGAGTCCAGCTCTCCTCCTGGAACATTATAGACTGCCGACTGTCCTTACACTCTGGCTATTTTGTGACAGGGCTGTAAATCATGTTGTCAGAATGTACGGATGGGGTGCGAGCCCTGGAACTCCACATTGGTTGTCCAGAGACTTAGGTACTTTCTCCAGTGTAGGGGACCTAGACAACCTTCAGTGCAGTCCAGTGCACTGTCCAGTGCAGTCCACGACACCTCCCCTCCCTGAACCTTCCAGTACATTGAAGATTGAGATGACCTAAATGGAAAATGCTGTAATGAATATTAAGGACCATCACATGCAGTTCAGTTTAGCTGAGCATCTACTGTCCAGTTAAATTAGGATTTTCCTTAAAGATGCTCTACTGGGTCTGCATAGCCCAGGCTCACGCTTAGCTCACACTCACAAAGGAGTCCCGCCCAACAAGGCTTTTTTGTGCCTCTGTACTTTCAGAGTCCCAGCAGATTGAGAACCCTTGTTGGGGTCTGGAGGGTGGAGCCAAGGACTGTGGAAGCTACAAGAATATTGGAGTTGGGAACTGGCTTGTTTCAAAGTTGGCAGATGTGGTACACATCTCTTCCCAGCCCCCTGCTTAGTAACGTCAGGACAAGAGCCTGCAGTAGACCAGGATGGGACTATAGGACAGCAATTGGCAAATATTATAAATCAGAGCTTCCTCAAGACCCCTTTCCCAGAACTAGTTGTTAATCATTTTGTAGCATGATTAATAAAAATCCAGAGACAGAAATTGGGGCTCAACCTGAAGTCAAAAAAAGCAAAATAGCCAGTCACTGGCTCTTACCTCTACCTCAGTGCAAAATGGTAATCCTGCCTCCAGGAATCTCAGAATGAGACTGTCTGAGAGCTGTTTCTTCTTGTTTTATATTCCTCTCTAGTGCTGGGATTAAAGGCATGCACCACTACCACTGGTTTCTATGGCAAACTAGTTTGGCTACTGGGATTAAAGGTGTGTGTCATCACTGCCTGATCTGTAAGACTGATCACTACGGCTGTTTTACTCTCTGACCTTCAGGCAAGCTTTATTTATTAAAATACAAATGAACTATCACTACACTTTACCTCTTTGTCTAAAATAAAAAAAAGGGATATAACTAATATAATAAAAACTATATACAATAAGGACAATGACTGTATATAATATATACAGACAATAAATACATCAGCAATGTCTAGTCCATTTGCATTTGACAAATTTACAGAAAACACTCCATATCTGTCCTATCTTGGTGAGTCCAAAGTCTTGTACCTAATTTACTTTCTATCATAGCTTTCATTCTGTGTCTGGTAAACTATAACTATAACTATCTAATCTTCAACTTCCTCAGAAACCCAAGAAAGAAATAATATTAACTGAGTAAGCAGGAAATGCAAGCGACTTCCAAAAAATGTGAGAAATGACAGAAAACAGCTGGCTGCCTGAACAGTCATCCAAAGTTCCTTTGCATGTGCTATTAACTATTAATTACAGTATTAACTATTACTAATAATGTTAATATTATTAATTATGCTACACTATTTGTTATCGCAGCACTGAGGAAATGAGGAACGGTTCTCACATATTTGGCAAGGAAGAGGTTCCCTGACCATTAGGTTAGGAGGGCAGCAGCCAATGTGGGGAGCTAGGACTAAGTGCTGGATGCTGAACAGTGTCCGTGGTCACCCACTGGAGACCTCTGTAACCAGATGTGGCATCTACATCATAGATCTGACCAGGGAATGTTTTTGGCATTAGAAAGATTAAGTCAGTAAGTGCTGCAAACAGCACATGAGAGGAGGTTCAGGAAATTCAAAGTATAACAGTGTCTCTCAAAAGTAGTTGCCCATTTGGAATCACCTAAGAATTAAGAAAAGTACTGATCCTGGCCTGTAGCTCAATTGATAGAATGCTTCCCTAGCATGCATGGGTTTGATCCCTAGCACTATAGTAACCAGGCATGATGGTACACACCTTTAATCCCAGCACACAGGAGATGAAAGCAAAAGGATCAGAAATTCAAGATTGTCCTCAGCTATATAGCATGTTGAGAGGCCAGCCTGGGCTACATGAGACCCTATCTCAAAAATGACAAAGAGCAGTTGAAGAGATGGCTCAATAAAGTACTTGTATTGCTAATGTGAGGACAGGAGTTTAATCCTCAACACCTACATGAAGTTGGATACGTTGATATGTGCTTGTAATCCCATCACTGAGAAGGCAGACACAGAAGGATCTCTGGGGTTCACTGGCCAACCAGTCTTGCATAATTGCAAGCTCTAAACCAATAAGAGGCCCTGTCTCAAATGAAGTGTGTATGGTGTTCCAAAGAATGGCACCCAAAATTGTTCCTTAGTATCCCACCTTTCAAGAAGTACTAATCTTGGACCCAGGTCCCAGATGGTCTTGGGCCAAACCTGATCCATTAGAATTTTTCAAATTTTGCTTATTGTTTGGTAGATAGTTTTAAGTTTGTTGAGAGCTATGGTACAGCCACTGCTTAGCATCCCTAGAGAAACTTCCTAGAGTAACAATAAGGACACAGGAGTTCTAGGCTAGTGCTGGTCTAGGGCTGGTCTTTGGCCTACCTATTGCTATGGTGATGGGATGAGATCACTCATGACACAGGATGTATTTATCAACCTCCGCACATGCTGTAGGCTCTCTGTCAGGCTCCAGGGGATGCATGATGAATAGAATACGGGTTTATTTTTACCATGGAAGGCTCAGTCTGAAGAAGCAAAATGTCAGCAATCACTCCTTAAATAAAGTAGAACTAGGAGTCCTAGGAAAGAGGCTGTAGAGTACTGGCTGGGCATGGCTGAAAGAAGCCTCTTCCAGGTCATGGGGTGTTGTATGGAGGCAGCATCTCTGTTAATCAATGCAGTTAGCCGTCCAGGGTTGTCCTTGTTTAAGCACTGTAAGTCTTATGTCCTGAACGAACAGGGACAGCTGATCACCCTAGGTATGACACTGAGACTGCAGGGCCCCTGAATGCACTGCATAGAAGTCAACATTCCCTACCCCCCAGTTCCACAGCAGCGTATGGTCCACATGGCATAAGTTCCCCCTTCTGAGCAGTGAGGGCCCTTGGCAGATCACTGGGGTAGGTAGGTGGTGAGGAAAGATTGTGGGCCCCAGAAGGTAAAGCTTCTTAGGAGCTCCTGAAGATGACCTGCACCTACCCTGTGTGCCCTATGCCCTCCACCACCCATTTTCTTTTCACATCACCTTCAGGTTGTAGCCACATTCATAACCCATAGGCATTTATTTATTACTGGCTTAATCTTTTTCACTTCACTTGACTTTTTTCAAAACCCAAATAAATGTATTTCAACAGGAAACTTCTCTAAGAAAATAATAGCCATCAGATGGTAGGTTTTCACTTGTTACGATAAATTTCTATCAGTACAGATTTTTAAAATTCTCTTTAAAAATATTTATCTGTATATCTTTCAGGGCCAAGATACCTCCCAGGGCCTGAACACATCCCAGGGCCAGCTTACATGGGCTTGGCATGTGCAGTCATCCTGACCCTGCTTGGCTCAATGCCCCATTAATTTCTGTTTAAAAATTCTAATACTTTGTGAGCAGAGGACCCTGTGTTTTCATTTTATCTTTGCTTTGTAAATAATGCAACTGATCCTGATGCCACCTGACTCATTCCCCTTAGTCATGGAGACTGAGAAGGAGAGGTACAGCTACACAGTGAGGCCCTCAAACCTAACTCCGCTACTGCTCATGGACCTTCAGCCCAGGGGTTTGCTGTGCGCCTGCCTGTGTGCCCTCAAGCTACTTACTCATACTTTGAGCAGTAGGTCTCTATAGATAGAATGAGAAACCTTAGAAAATGCTGAGGTGTAAGCCCAGGGCTGGAACCTCCTAAGGGATCACAGTCTCTGCCAAGCTTGTGTACCTTTGAATTAGCTGGTGTCTGTGTTAGGCCCTGGGCCAGGCCTGAGGAGCTTGCATAGAGATAGAGAGCCTATCTACAAAGTGTGTAGATAGACACACTTTGCTCAACCTGGAGTCATCCCGAAAGAAAGCTCGTATCTCCATACCCCAGTTTCCTGCAACCCTGGGGCAATCACTCTACAACCTGCCCTCCTGGAGGGCAGAACCCAGCCAAGTTGGCTTCTGTGGGTATGTGGAATAGTCACTAAGCTGCTGCTGGATGGACGATTGAGGACAGGCAGGGCTACCATTGTCACAGCAGCTACACTCAGCAGCACAATGGCCCAGCTGTTTTCCTTATCCTCATTTTAGGGAGAAAACTAAGGCTGTGAAGACACATTTGCCTTTTTCCAAGGCTCCTAAGCTTCACAGTGAGGACTACCTGCCAAAGAGTTTGGGTTAAATACGTGGCTTATTGCCCTGCATGAGAAAGAGCTGGAACATATTCCTGCCAGGCCATCTTCTCTCTATGGCATTATGCTCTAAAGCAGAATCCCTCTTGTGCTTTGCTCTGGTTCTGGGTCCACAGCATCCTTACAGATAACAAACCCCAAACTGTAACCAGTGCCACCTCTCTTCCAAAAGATAACACTCTGAAACAGTGCTGTCTTCCTGATGGTGGGGGCTTCCTAGCAGCCAAGACAGCTGATGGATGAGGTGCCGAGAGATCATGAACTTAAAGACAGAGGTAACCTCTTAGCGTCTTGGACCTACCTAGAAAGAGATCACAGCTCTATGGTCTATGTGAGTAAGCAGGGGTAAAAAGGAACTCTGGACTGGGCATCCCCAGCTCTCATTTTACTTGGATCAGGTCCCCTTGGTGGATCTGAGAGAGGGAACCTCAGGTTTGAGGACCCAAAAGGTGAGAAGTTCAGGAAGATGTCCCCATTGTTCTCTATCAAAACCTAAGAGACAGGCTTGGGGACCTGGCAGCCATAGGAAGGGCCCGTGTGATGGAGCCCTTTGTCTCTTATAGCCCCGGGCTGTGTACTGCAAGGACGTGCTGGACATCGAGCAGTTCTCTACTGTCAAAGGTGTCAACTTGGACCATACGGACGATGACTTCTACTCTAAGTTCTCCACAGGATCTGTGCCAATCCCATGGCAAAATGAGGTGGGCAGGGCATGCCACCAGCTTTTCTCTAAGAGGGATGGGTTGTCAGAGAAGATGGAAGTGCAGAAACAATAGAAGGGTCACTGGGTAGGCAGCACAGATGGGCTTGGGTTGGAAGCCAGCAAGGTAGCTGAGAGAGAACAGGTGGGCAACAGCCAGGTGCCTCCCTCAGAGGTCTGCTGGAAATGGAAGGAAATGGGGCATCTTCTAAAAGTACAAGCATTAAATTGATTAAGTCAGCTGATCAAATGCGGTATGGATGATGGTCAAGTAAGCTGTAGGAGATGGTTTGGAGGGGGAAGAGTGTGCCTCTGGTGGGTTATATTCTTAGTGGAGGCCCCCAGAAAGTTACAGAGAAGCCCTGTTAGAGGAGGGGGCAGAGCCAGTAGGGCAGAGTCTATGTCTCAGGGAAGGCCCCCGAGGGTGACAGTGTTGTTTCTATTCTGCCTTTCTAGATGATAGAAACAGAATGCTTTAAGGAGCTGAATGTGTTTGGACCCAATGGTACCCTCTCACCAGACCTGAACAGAAATCAGCCTCCAGAACCTCCAAAGAAAGGGCTGTTTCACAGACTCTTCAGGCGTCAGGTGAGAGTCAGCCTGGCCAACTTGGCCTGAGCTCTAGGATTCCAGCCCACTTCACACATCAGAGATCCAGACTGTCCCTTGTCTGTATGGTCTGGTAGCCTGGAATTGTTAGTCAACGTGTCCAAAACCCTAGCACCCCCTGTTGGTGATACAGGGTGCCATGTCAACATTGTTGACACAGGGAAACTGATTCTTGTCACAGGGCTGTGCCACAGAGTGAAGGATGTTGAAAAAGCATTACCAACCTCTGCCCAATAAACACAGAGGAAGAAACAACTCAGCACCTCCTCTATCAGTGGTCAGCACTAAATGGTCACCCTGCAGGGCAAACCCACCTCAGACTGGGGAACACTGTTCCATTATTCAATCCCCACATACTATCTGGCATTTTCCCCTTGGGAACAGACTTTGTTCCATCAAAGCTTATCACCCTTTTCCTCTGCTCACAGATTTAGGATTTCTTAATTCCATGGCTCTTCCTGGGCAACAGATAAAATCCTCTGCTCAAGGAGCAACCTGTAAACTCAGGTCTTCTAGGGAGAATGCAAAAAGCCCAAAAAACAGAGAAGAAGGTTGGAACATTCTGGATTCTACTGCCCTACTTCCAGAGCCACCATGAATGTGTCAAATCCATGGGCTTTGAATTTACCAAGAACTGATTCTATTCCTTTCTCTTCCCAGCATCAGAATAATTCCAAGAGTTCACCCACTCCTAAGACCAGTTGTAACCACCGCATAAATTCAAACCACATCAGTTCAAACTCTACTGGAAGCAGCTAGTTTCAGTTCTGGTCTTGAAGTCCAAAGTGGAACCAGCTCAGATCCTTCTACTTGGAAGCGGAACTTGTAGCTGATGGAGCTTCTACTATGGCTGGGTAGCCAGGAGAGCTCCCCTGGGAACTGGGATAGGATACTGTTCACCCCAACAACAAGCCTCCAAGTTTCTCAAAGAAATTTCCACTCAGGTCTGTTTTTCAAGGTGGCTGGGGTGAACTAGAATTGTGCTTGTTGAATATTGCAATAGAAACCCAATGGGATATGACAACTTGCATGGATTTTAATAGCATCCTAATTAGAACTGAATTTTGTCTTTATCATTTTTAAAGGAAAGTTTTGTAAATTTCTCTATTGTCTCAGTTTACATTTTGTATATTTGTATTTAACTGAAAGTCAGACTTTGAGGGTGTATATTTTCTGTGTAGCCACTTTTAAGCCATGTGTTTTAAGCCATTTTAGATGGGGGGTTTTACAAAAAAAAATGTGACTCTAGACTTCCAGAGCTTCAAAAGAGAAAATGTTTTTTTTTTATTAAATGTAGAAAATGTTTCACCTTTTACCTTTTAAGTCCTGATTGCATCTACCTATATTCATCTCTCTGACCTTTTCCTCAGTGTAGCCCTCACTCTCTTCATGACTTGGAACAATCAGAATGAAATGCCAAAATACACTTGGGACATTCCTCCCTCAAACACTCTCTGTGGGGTGGGGCATAATTGGTAAGAATATTCTTATGGGCAGGCATTTGACATTGCAGCTTCTCTTGTTCTCCTGCTGTTGGGTGTCTGGCATGCAGGGCAGGGAATCCCAAGTCATTGGGCTGCAGATCTTGGCAGCTAAAGCCAGTGGTTTTCAAAGGATTTCTGTTGTATTTGAGAATTTCTCCTATATATTATTTTTAGTAGTTTATACTGATGATAAGGACCAGTAGGAAACACAAGTGTTCCAAACCATGGGGCTATGGAAAAGTATGAGTTGGGGGGTCCATCATGAGTGACTACATCCATGCCTGTTTAGGCCTTGACTGGTCAGTAAAATGATCACCATATCATGACATCTTCATGGGGTCCCACAGATTTGTTGGCTCGTGTGACATGAAGGAAGTCATCTTTCCAGGCAAGTGGGATGCTTAAGAAGAAACTTACACTAGTGAAGTGTAAGACAATCTCATTGTCACTTCCCAAAGAGATCTTGGCCAAAGGCTCATGCTAATTGGGCATCTTAAAGTCACAGGCACAAGTCACTCATGGAAGACTTGATGGACTTACCTTTCCAGCCCTGGGGAGTTGTTGCCCAGCCCCTGAAATCCCAGGAGGTGACAAGGTAAAGATTGGCCCTCACCTTCTCACCAGGACAGGGTAAGCAGCTGGTCTCACTGCTCCCCTGGGAGGATGAGACTCTGAGTATGACCCTGCCTCAAAATTTGTCTCAGCCACCAACTACTGGGGTTTCTTACAGGGTGAGCCAGGTGCTACCTGAATCAACTCCTGTTAAAATGCAGATTACTGGGCTACACCTCTAGCCAATACTTGATCTCATTTTGTAGTCCAGGCTGGTTTCAAATTAAAGATCCTCCTGCCTCAGCCTCCTAAATTCTAGGATTACAAGAGCATACTACCACGAAAAATGCATCTTTCCTAAGCTGCTCAGACCCTTCTGATGCCCCATAGTGTGAGAACCATCCCCCAGGCCTGTGTATATGGCCATTCCAAATGTGTTTTCCTGAGACACCTGACAGCTTTGAGACTTCAACATGTCAGGAAGAAAATCCCAAGCATTTTAGTCTCATATCTTTGATTCCAATGTCTTCCAGGGCTCACTGCTAGAAAGGAGCCTAGTCTTTGGGATTAATTATCCTGAAGTCAGTTAACCATGAGAGAAGAAACAGCCAGGCTCTATGATGCATGATTAACCTCAAGCCTGGCCCCTTGACTGCTTCTGAACTTTTGAAGAGCTGAATATGAATCAAATGCAATGCAAATGACCATATCCAGGTTCTACTGGGGAGTAGTAGGACACTCAGTACTTCCAGATCATCACGCTGTTGCCCATGCTTCTTCATTGAGGAAAAAAAGAATTGTCATCTTTCTGGTATGGTTATAAGCCCCAGCCACATACAACCCCTGACTCCTTTTCACAGGTTTGTTCCTATTTCCCCACCCAAAGCCATTTAACTCTTGTCAAATAGGTAACAGTTAGGAAACAGTTTCTCCTTAGGCCTCAAAATCAAGGCAGTGTCCATTTTCAGCAGAGAATCTGTAAACAGAGACTGCACTTTTGTTTCCCAGCGACCCAGACCTGAATCATCACACAGAACTATATTAATTACAACACTGCCAATGGCTTAGATGTATTCCTAGTTAGCTCTTACATCTTAACCCATTTCTATTAATCTATGTATTACCACGAGGTTGTGACTTACCAGTAATGTTCTGGCATCTTTCTCCTTCAGTGGCTACATGGCATCTCCTTGACTCTACCTTCCTTCCTCCTCTATCTCTGCCTGGATCTCCTGCCTTGCTATATTCTGCCCTGTCATAGACCAAAGCAGCTTCTCTATTAACCAATGGTAATAAAATGTATTCACAGCATACAGAGGTACATCCCACATCAAGAAAACCCAGGAAGCTAAATGGAAAACACAAGTCTGTCTACCATGTATTCCCATCATGAGATCCCGAAAAACCTGTGCACTGAAATGTACCTGAGTGCCTATGGGAGGCAGGGGTAGACACATGTTTCAGTCTTTCAGTTTGTTTTGGCCTACTCATGGCTTCATAGCCAGAAACAGTGCCTGAAAAGTGTCCCTCCTCCCTGACTAAGTCTTCCTTCTGCCTTTGTTTCTATAGCTGCATTTTAAAGGTATTTTTTTTTGTTTTAAAATGAAAATAAGCCCTCTGCCATGTCCAGGAGAAAGTGTATGTGGACACTCTGTTGTACACGTGAACTCTTTGCCGAAGAACCTTTCTTGCTTCAAGTGTGGCATGTTTCTAACTGAATGGCCCTTGACTTGGAGTGAGAAGCTTCTCTGCTTTTGCTGTTTGGGAAATAGGCCTCTGTCTGAAGTATGTAAGGTAGTCTCTGCTGTAACCATTCTGACTTAAAATTGTCCATTATACAGTTTAGTGGGGGAAGGTGAACTCTGAATATCATCCCCAGAATATCAAGAATGTCTGATCCTCACCTTCCAGGAAGATGGTGTGTATCCTCTACTCATTCTTGAACCTGAACTACACAAGGCTCCATATTTACTCACCTGCCTAGGGGCTGAGCCTGGCTGTAGCCACAGGACTGGTCTCTGAAATATTTCGTTTTCTGGGCGGGCAGGCAGCAAGAGGCCTACCACACAGACCAGATCACAGGTAGCCCCAGTGATATGTGATATGTATTCCTGACAGGCACTGGCTCATGGTGTTTCTGATGAGTTCACATGCATGGGGACATGTGCATGGCACTTCTTTGCATCAGAGGTGCAAGTAAAATGAGAGTCTGCCTCAGAGCTGAGACCAACCCCCTGAGAAAGCTGAGGCAGGGAAGTTTCCCTGCTTCTCCAAGGAACTTAGCTCAGTATTGCAATCTATTGTTTTCTTCTGGACCAAGTACTTTCTTGAAAGGTTGGCTTTACTTTCCAGCAAATTAAATGAGCCACTAACCTCAACACAGAGCAGGCAATGCAGCCTCCTGGAGCCTGGCATTCTAAGCCTTGACAAAAGGAATGGTGGCAGCTTCTTGGACAGCTCGAGGTCCCAAGAGAAAGAAAAAAGCAACACTGGGCTCTTCTCTTGGGCAATCGTGTGCTTTCTTTTCTGATTGTATCCTCATCCCCTTCTGTCTTCATAACCCAATACCCTGAAATAGGACCTTCTAACTTAGGTTTTGTTATGGAAAGGCAGTATAAAGTCTCTTCCTCCAGACTACAGTTGGGAAGCCCCACCCTGGCCCACTTTCTATACCTGCTGTACAGCCAGCCACCCAGCTAGCGAAACTGTCAGGTATGTAGGCCAGTTCCTGCACAGGCACATAAAGTATCTCCTCTGGCTCAGACTGAAAAGTCTTGACTCAGGACAATGATTTAACATGTGACAAGCTAGGTTACCCTAGGAAAGAAGCTGGGTCACCTAAAGGAAGATGCTGGGTATTGGGGCATTTTTCCAGCTTATCGGCCTACCATTCCTATGATTGATCACAGATATATATTGTCCATTAGAAGGGCATTGTGGCTGCTGGTATTGTTAGAATAATAACTCTAGTATCCAAAGGTTTCCATTTTGGAGGTTATTCTCAATGGTTACGGCTTCTGTTGTGCTGCTCTGAACCTCTCGTGCTCCGTCTACCATGTCACAGTGTCACCATGTCTAGCCACAACCACTGTTGTTTTATAAAGATAAATAAATTCCTTAATGAATATAATACTGCATTTCTTTTCTTCTGTGGAAATACTGACCTCTTTTGTTTGTGTGACACTTGCCTGAAACATGTTCATACTGACTGCAGTTGCCCCTTAGTTAATCCTTTCTCAAGTCAATTCCACCCAAACCAAATCTGGCCCTCACACTAACCACACCAAGAACTGCCATCCCATTAACTCTGGTAGGCAGTACATAAGGAGGCCAGCAGAACTCTTACAAGGCCATCAGAGTTTGAACACAAGCCCAGCAGTTTCTAGTCATGGAGACAAAGTAGACTAGGACAGGAATGCCAGGAGGCATACTTGCTGCCTGATGAGCCTTTTACACAAGAGGCAGTCTCTTTAAAGAACATTGTTCAGCTTTCATGAGGACATGGGATACCCAGAACCCAGGCCTATGCTCTGGTGGACCTGGTCTCCTGGCTAACTCTAGATCCTTTTTGAGATGGGGTGAATACAGTGGCAGACCCCACATTCGTTCGCACACCCTGTGTTTCCCCAGCAAGCATTTGGTAGAGCAGAAGGACACAGAAGAGAGTGGATATTTGAGGCTCCTGTCTTCCAGCATGAGCTCTGGAGTCTATATGCCCCGTGGAAGACTTTAGTTCCCTGGCTCCTGAAAAGCAGACACTTTTCCTAATTGGAAGGACAAACGGAGACAGAAGCTCTGTCTAGGTGCTGCCTGGCAATGAAATGGAATGGGGTATTCATCTATAATGGAAAAGTGGTCTTTCCTGGAATAAGAGAAGAATTACTGAGCAGCAGTACTGAGGAAACAACCAACAGGTACATGCTGCTGATCATGTGTGAAGACTTGCAAGAGCATGTGGAGGGACCAAGGACAGGAAGCCTTCCAACTTAAGAGACAGGAACCTCACTAGAGATAGTGGGAACCTTCCCTAACCCTTTGAAGGCTATGTATTATTTTGAGAGACTTTTACCAACCTAGAAAGCCCACTGCCACAGCCAACCTCCTGACAGGATATCAGGAAGGAACTCGGGTCCCATGGCCCTGCCCACCGAGACTGTCTACCTCATTACACTACTTTGTCTGGGCAGACAAGGAGGGTAGGAGGGAGGAAGTGATGATCCACACCTGTATTATGTTCTTCACTGTGTTCTACAGTTGTGCACGGTAGATGAGGGCACTGAATGGTCTCCATTTGGTCTATGCCCAGCAGAGGCTGGAGGTGCTCTCCTCCCATACCCAGCCCTTCCTGGGATACCAGGAGTGTCAGGCTCTGGCTGAGATCTACCTAGACCCCTTGAGATGGTGACAAGCAAGAAAGTTTGAGTGCTGAGAACCCTCAAACCACAGCAAGTGAGGCTCTTGTACCACTGTGAACAGGGCTTCCTTGAGCTAAATAGTGGTCGGGCCTGGGTTTAATTGCCTTGTGGGTGTAGCTTCCTGGTGGCAAGCTGTGTTAAGACAGGGAGACAGAGACAGGAAGATCCTTAGGATTCATTGACCAGTATAACTGAATCTTCAAGCTCCAGGTTTAGTGAAAGATCTTGTCTCAAAAATAAGCAGAGAGTAACAGGAATATTCCTGATGTCAGCCTCTGGCTTCCTCATGCATTCACACATATGCATCAATGCATACACAAACACATATTAAACATAATTTAAAAAATTTTAAAGTAGCTGCTAATGTTACTATTCCTTCCATTTATATCACATTTCTTCTAGATAATTCTACAATATAAACAAAAATAGAGTAGGGGAAAGGCTTAGTGATTACTCTGGAGAAGTCTGAGACATATCTGCCAGGCTACCCCACCTCCTCAGTCCCCAGGGAAATCCAAGGGATCTGCATCTACCACTTGGGCCATATATCCCAAAGGGTACAGGATAGGAGAGAAAACAGCAAAATTCCACAGTCAGCATCGCCACCCCGCATTTCATCAACGCTGGGGCCAAACATGTGGTACACTTGCCCTCTGGTAACTGGCAGTCTGTTTATTCAGATGAGGTTCTGCTGAAACCACTGACAAATGTTCTTTCGAGTTAGCAGAATCTTGGATTACAGAGCCAAGAAGAACCCCACTCCAAAGAGCCCAACCCTGTAATGAAGGTTTCTGGTTTGGCTCGTGCCCTTGATCACTTCTGCTGCTGCTGTTTCACAGCAGTAAAGTAGAGGGTGGAGGAGAAAATAATTCTCTTTAGAGTTGTCTACCATTGGCCAGTGCACTCTAAGTAGTAATCCCAGTCTCATATTTGAAGTGGCCTCTGGGTTTTCTATCAAGTGATGTTATTGAACAAAATCCACAAGCAAAGCCTTAATGAACTTTGGGGTCTGGTATTTCCTCAAAAGCCTTCTGACTTTCTGAAGTCTATGCCTTTGGTTGATAAGCAAACCATTTCTTTATTTTAATTTTTTTTCTGCTCCACGATCAGTTCTGCATGCAAATTCTGTAGCTCCAAGGTCTAAGTTCAGATCCTAGTTTTTCAATTTGTGCACCTGGGACAGCTCAGACAAGTTGCATACTTGCTCTATGTCTCAATTTCCTAATTTGTCCAGGAGTATAGTAACCATTTGTTTTTACTAGCAATAGAGGAACTTTGATAATTCACACAAGCTGTTTATTAAAGGCCAGGGAGATAACTCAGTTCATAAAGTGCTTTCTGTGCAAACATGATGACCTAAGTT